TAGGTATAGAGTTGAAGGTCAGGTGGAATCACTCTCTGTCCCTCTGGTCAGCGTGATGGCCAGAGGCCTGGAGGTCCCCCGCTGGGGGGCCGTGGAACTGCTGATCTGGGCAGCCTTGGGGCTGCTAGTGGCCGGACACGGAGGTCATGGCGACCTGCAAGAGGACCTGCACGAGGACTTTCATGAACACAGCCACAGGCAGTCACATGAGGATTTCCACCAAGGACACAGCCATGCCCATGGCCATGGCCACACTCATGAGAGCATCTGGCATGGGCATACCCACGGTCACGAACATGGACATTCACATGAGGATTTGCACCATGGCCATGGCCACTCCCATGAGAGCCTCTATCACAGGGGACATGGACATGACCATGAGCACAGCCATGGGGCTCCAGGCATCAAGGAGGAATTGGACACTGTCACTCTCTGGGCCTACGTGAGTCCCCAGGGGATGGGAGGGAGAGGGTCTGATTCTGGATTGTTGGGAAATCCTATACCACTTGACCCCTGACTGTCCCTCACCAGGCACTGGGGGCCACAGTGCTGATCTCTGCAGCTCCGTTTTTCGTTCTCTTCCTTATCCCTGTGGAGTCAAACTCCCCCCGGCACCGTTCTCTACTCCAGATCCTGCTCAGTTTTGCTTCAGGTGGACTGCTGGGAGATGCCTTCCTGCACCTCATCCCTCATGCCCTGGGTAAGTGACCTCTGATCTCTACCTCACATCTTAATGTATTTTATTCTTTGGACAAAAGGGTTCTTTCCTCTTACCGACCTGCCAGTATTCCCCAAAATGCACACCCCTGAGCAGGATATTCCTTCATCTAGCCTTTTCTCCTGCTTCCTCCAGAACCTCATTCTCACCATCCTCTGGAGCAACCTGGACATGGACACTCCCACAATGGTGAGAAAGGGGTGGAAGGAGCCAGGTTGGGGTGCTGGGAAAGGTTTGTCCCTCCCTAATCTTCTCTCAAACTTGGGGTAGAGGAGTCTGAAATCCTCATTTCCTTTAATGTCTCAAAACCTCCATTCCCAGGCCAGGGCCCCATTCTGTCTGTGGGACTGTGGGTCCTCAGTGGAATTGTTGCCTTTCTTGTGGTGGAGAAATTTGTGAGACATGTGAAAGGAGGACATGGACACAGTCATGGACATGGACACACTCATGGTCACGCACATGGAAGCCATGGACATGGAAGACAGGGTGAGCCCAGAAACAGCTTTCATAAAAGCCACCTTGTCTACCTCAGAATCTGCTCATTTTATGGCTCTTAGATGGGAGGGGACTTCCCCTTTTGAAGGTATTTTGTTCCCCACTCTTACCAACTTTTTTCTTCCCTCAGAGCATCCTTCAAAGAAGAAGCAGAGCTCAGAGGAAGAAGAAAAGGAAGGAGGGGGATCACAGAAGAGAAGACCAGGGAGTACAGGGCCCAAAGATGGGCCAGTGAGACCTGAGAATTCTGAAGATGAAAAAATAGGTTCAGGTGAGGGCCAGGGTTGGTGATGCTTGGGCAAGGAGCATCATCGTGAATCACATGGAATATACACTGCGGATAATGGCAGATGTCTGGGAAACACAGAGGGGCTAGTTGTGAAGTGGTCTGTGGAAAGGTGATCA